TTTGTCAAGTTTCTTTCTGGTTGTCCTATCCATTTTTAATAGTTGTTGTTAGTTGCCAACGAGTTGGTACTGACTCATAGTGACCCTATGCACAACAGAATGAAACAGTGCCTGATCCTGGGCCAACCTCACTATTGTTGCCACACTTGAGCCCATTTGATGCTGCCACTTTGCCAATCCATCTTGCTGGGGCTCCTCCTCTTTTCCTCTGACCCTCCGCCTTCCAAAGATGATATCCTTCTCCAGCGACTGGTCCCTCCTGACAACATGTCCGAAGTATGAGAGACAAAGTTTGGCCATCTTGGCCTCCAAGGAGCACTCTGGTTGCTCTTCTTCCAACACAGATCTGTTGGTTCTTTTGACTGCCCATAGCACTTTCAATAATCTCCTCCAACACCATAACTCAATTCTTCTATGGTCTTCCTTATCCACTGTCCAGCTTTCACAGGCATATGAGGTTGTTGAAAATACCAGGTGCACCTTAGTCCTCAAACTGACGTCTTTGTTCTTCAACACTTTAAAAAGGTCTTGTGCAGCAGATTTGCCTAATGCAATACATTGGTTGATATCTTGACTGCTGCTTCCATGTGTGTTGAGAATTGATCCCAGAAGATGAAATCCTTGACAATGTCTATCTTTTCTCCATTGATAAGAATATTCTTTATTGGTCCAGTGGTAAGGATTTTTGTTTTCTTCAAATTGCCCACTATTGTTATACATTCAAGGAGCTCTGGTAGCGTAGTGGTTACGAATCAGGCCACCAACCTCAAGGTCGGCAGTTCTAAGCTACCAGCCGTTCCATGGAAGAAAGATGAGGCTTTCTGTTCCCTTAAAGATTTACAGCCTCGGAAACCCTGTGCATGGTTACAATGAGTCGGAACCGATGCCACTGTACTTAACAACAACTTGCAGATTTATCTATTTCGTTCTTCAAATCTATTGTTGTTGTTGTTAAATTCTGTCGAGTTGGTTCTGACCCATAGTAACCCTGTAAAAGGTTTCCGAGGCTGTAAATCTTTACAGGAGCAGAAAACCTCATCTTTCTTCTGCAGAGCGGCTGGTAGTTTCTAACTGCTGACCTGAAGTTTCACAGCCTGATTCGTAACCACTACACTATCAGAGCTCCTTTCAAATCTATTAACGTTTGCTTTATGTATTTTGGAGCTCTTTAATTGGGAGCATAGATATTTATTATGGTTATGTCATTTTGTTCAATTGTCCCTTTAATCATGACATAATGTCCATCTTTATGTATTATACTGGCTTTTGCCTTAAAGTTTATTTCATCAGAGATTAGTATTGCCATTCCTGCTCATTTTTTATTGTAATTAACTTGGTATATATTTTTTCAATCCTTTGACTTTTAGTCTGTTTTTGTCTTTGTGTGTAAGGTATGTCTTTTACAGACAGCATATTGAAGGATCTTATCAATTCTGCCACTCTCCATCTCTTAACTGGTGCATTTAATCCATTTACATTCAGTGTAATTATCAATAGGTATGGATTTATTGCTGTCATTATATTTGTTTGTTTTTGTGGTGCTTCTTGTTACTTTGTTGTGCATATCTTCCTGTGCTGATTTCATGTTTTTTGTGTTCTTTCTTGTCAATTTCCTCATAGTTTTAATGTTTCCATGTTTTCTTGGATTTTCATTTTCTTGGTATGTTGTGAAGTGTTAATAGTTTTTTAGGTTATCTTGTATGCTATTAACTTTTTCCTCAATTTAATACTGATTATTTTATTCTGTAATCTGTCTGACCTTCTCACCACCTGGATCTCTGTTCCTACACATTTACCTTAGTTCACATTGTTATTGCTTTGATCATAGACTGACCTCACAGATCCTCTGAATTTGTTCTTATAGTTTTGTTCTTTTCTCGACTCTTCAATTTGTTGATTGAGTTCTGGGTATTGCTACCACATATTTCAACCTTTGGTTGTTGTCTGTTCCTGTTGGTTCACAGACCACAGAGCTCCCTTTAAGATGTTCTGAAGCACAGGGTTGGCTTTGGCAAAATCCCTTAGTTTCTGTTTATCCTGGAATGTTTTGATTATACCATCTTTGTATTTGATTGAGAGCTTTGCTAGGTAGAGCATTCTTGCTTGGCTGTGGGGTTTTTTTGTTTTGTTTTGTTTTCTTTCAGGGTTTTATATAAGTCTTCCCATTGTCTTCTTGCTTGCATGGTTTCTGTTGAGAGATCTGAGCTTAATCTGCCTTGCTTGCCTTTGTATGTAACAGTTTTCTTTCCCCTGGATACTTTAAGGATTGTCTTCTTATCTTTGGTTGTGAAATGCTTGATTATGATATATCCTGGTGATTTTCTTTTGGGGTCTATCCTTCTTTGGGTTCATTGAACGTCTTGAATGCTTATCCTTTCACTTTTCAAGATGTTAGGGAAATTTTCTTCCAGCAGCTCTTCAACTATCTCTCCTCTGTGGACTTGTGTGATTCTTCCTTTTCTGGAATGCCAATAATTCTTAAGTTATTCCTCTTCATGTTGTCCAATGAATCTTAGGTCTTCTTCAGATTTTTTTTATCCTTTTTTCTGCGTGCTCTTCTATCTTAGTAGTATTGAAAGATTTGTCTTCCAGATCACTAGTTCTGGCCTCCATCTCTTCAGTTCTACTATTTTGCCCTTTCAGTATATTGGCCACTTCTGATATTCTATTATTAATTGTTTAGACCCCTTTCTGTAGGTTTTGAATTGCTTCCAATGCTGAATCTATCTATTTGATTGTTCCTGTAGCACTTTCCTGATTTCTTCCTTATTTTTTTCAACTCCATTGTAGAGTGTTTTGACACATTTTATTATCAGTTTTCTGAATTCTTTCTCATGCATTTCCAAAGCCTGCCCTCTTTCCAGCATTGAGTGTAGATCTACCTCCAGATCATTTGTCTTGTTCACTTTATCTTGTTTCTGGACATGTGCTGTTATGGTCATCTGTTTTTGTGTCTTGGGCATATTCAGTAGTTAGCTGTGGCCTTAATAATTAAATCAGTGTGTGTTTTGGTACTTTTTATGCTTTCATTGCCTCCAGGTAGATGAGATCAGGATATGGGCTTCCCTTTTTCTCTCTCTTATTATTCAACCAAGAGTAACTGTCACAGGTGTTGGCTGCCTACTTGGTATATGGCAGCTGGTATTGGTTCTTGCCTGGATTGAGGGATTTTATAGCATGTAATTTTAGCTTTACTATATGACCACAATTGCTGTCTCTTCTTGGGTAATATATGGAGAGAAAGAGCCCTTTAAAGGTAAAGAGGGGATCAAAAAAAAAAAATGTTGTTGTTAGGTGCCATTTAGTCAGTACTGACTCATAGCGACCTTATGCACAGCAGAACGAAACACTGCTCAATCCTGGGCCAATCTTGCCACTGGTGCCACGCTTGAGTCCATCAATTCTGCCACTTGGCTAATCCATCTCTTTGGGATCTTCCTCTTTTTCTCTGACAAAAAAAAAAAAAAAAAAAAAAAAGCAAGAGCTTAACAGACAGATTAGATTTTATAGTCTATAATGGCAGAAAAGAGAGAAGCAAGAGAGAGGGTGAAATATTTGCAGGCTAATATGAGTATGACTTTAATATACACTGTGAGCTTCTTGCCTTCAAGGCCACCTGAGAAGTTTTAAGATGCCTCTGTTCATTGTTATGACATAACTCAGGATTTAATATTCAACCTTTTCATTTTAAGTCTGTGTGTCTCTTACTCCACAAGCCCAGTTCTAGCCTTTTTCCTAGTGATAATCAGTTCAGGGTCAGTTGTGGCCATTTTGTGCTGCCGTTTGGTTTTAAGTGGAAGCTGTTCCTTTATATTTTGAGGAGATCTGTGTGCATGTGTAGTAGAACCCTTCGGGGGTGGAGGGTGTCCACTCGCTCAGACACCCCCTCTAGTCACCACAATGGAGGTACGCAGACAGTGAGAGACCAATGAACAGATTAAAAAAAAAAAAAAACTCTACACCTTTATCTCCATGGTTCTTTCAGGTGTCAGTCAGTGTCAGCTCTGATCCTTCCCCTATTTGGTCTCACCCAAGATGGTGGCTCCAGGATCCACTGAGCCTGGCGGATTCTAAAGTACAAGATTTCTTGCTTCCAATACAAATTCCACTGGCTATAAGCCTTCAAAAATTTTAAATATTTCCATATATGTGGTTCAGAGTTCTGGAACTGTTCACTGAATCTGCTTCATCTGGTATTCTGTGTTATTGCTGACAGAGACCCTCACTGCACTTCTACTGTATCTGCCATCAATACCCCGTATCCGATAAAGTCAATTTTAAAAGTGAATGGAACTTGCTATCTGTACCATAGTCAGAGGAGTTAAATATTTAAGAAGTTATAAGGATATTTTTACTGACTTCTTTTAATTGAATTAATTGGCTAACATAATATCAAGTTATTATTTTCCAGCGTGATTCCAATAAGCAGAATTTATTATCTTTGTTCCTAATTGCATGTAGAAATATTAGAAACAGAAATAAATGAGGTTCCTTTTTCTGGCAATATTGTTGATGCTGGAAAATCTGTTATTTATTGTACTTCCAACAAAGCACAAGGAAAAACAGTGACTTTCAAATAAATGAGTTTGTTGTTTTTAATGATTTTCTTACTAAATAGAATACATAGAATATGTGCCTCAACTTTTTCCTTTACTCTAGCCATATCATGTGAATATACAATCTAATTATAAACTGCATAAAGATATAAGTAGATTTTTAGGTTACATTTATGTTGAGAAAAAAAAAAAAGTATAACCAACCTATAGTTGGTTATAATCAACATTTTATCATGAAAAAAAAAGTTTATTATAACCAACTATAGGTTTTCTAGTAAATTATCTATGCAAATGATTGATTTAATGAATGGATTTAATTTAGATTTTCAGGATGGTGTTATCTTTGCATTACTCGTACTGCTATATCTAGTATAGTATACTTCATATCACTTTAACTTTAAAATGTTTAAATCTATTTCATCCTGATAAAAATTCTGTTTTTAGAGCACCACAGGATCACTTCTTTGGACAAAGGAAACTGGTTGCTGGGGAACATCAATCAAACTGGCTACTTTAGGGTCAACTATGACCTAAGGAATTGGAGATTATTAATTGAACAATTAATAAAGAACCATGAGGTAAACTCTGGATTTTCTCATCAAAGATCTGTTTTGAAATGTGAACACTTTCCATTTTACTTCTAAGTAGTAAACATTTTTTTCTGGTTGACCTCATAGGTTCTCTCTGTCAGTAATCGAGCAGGTTTGATCGACGATGCCTTCAGCTTAGCCAGGTATGTTCTCCAATGGAGCTGCACAATAAAAACGTATCTATAAGAATTCTTACACTAAGCTCAATAGTATATATGTTTTAAATTTAGAAAACCTTTTAAAGTAATTTCTGTCTCATGTGCTTTGTGATTTGGATTTGAATTATAATCAGTGTTCCAAACTCTTAATCAATAGTAGCCATAGGGTGTTTCTGAGTCAGGAGAAACTTAATCAATTTCCACTGCAAGCTCAATTGAACACTCTGGAGATTAATAATCTCTTCCCAATTTCATTAATTAACTCTACAAAATGACCTTTGTGCCATATTTAATTTTTGATAGAATATAACTTCAAGCACCAGCAGTTTTTTTTCTCCTTTCACATATTAGTATATCTTTTAAAATGTGATTTATTGTGAAAACCTAGTACTGCAAGAGATAAATAGTCTACAGATTTTAAAAATAGTCAACAACAAAACAAATACTTAGAAATAGTATAGGAGTAGTTTGGGTAATATTTGTGTTATTCTCATAATTTGTTATGTTGCTAAAATCAGTTATTCTTTTGAATAATCACTAAATGAAATGATTTGATCATAAGCACAAGTAATTTGCTCACTTTTGAGACTAACTAGCAAAATAAACTCAATTCTGTTAATATTTTGTACTTTTTCACCTCCAAGTTTGAATTTAAATTATCTGATTTTCAATGCTGCAGGTTAGGATATTATAGTTGTCTTGACTTCAGTAGCTATCATTATTCACGCATTAGTTCTCCTATGATAATTGTGTAAACCAATTAAATGCATTTTATACAATAGGCAATGTCTTCTTTTAGGGTTTATGTATTCAATCAAATTTCAGTTTTCTTACGTATGTTAAAAAGTTTATAATGCCTTGTAACATCCTATTCCATGAAAATGAATATTGAGACTTGGTAATTACTTTAAATGAAGCAAAGTCAAAGTTTGGGGTCATGTTGTAGAGACTGGCATAAATAAATAAATATAAACATATATATGCATTTTTATTGCTAAGTGCCATCAAGTTGGTTCTGACTCATAGCAACCCCATATAGGGTTTCCAAGGAATGACTGGTGGGTTTGAATTGCTGACTTTGTGATTAGCAATCCAGTGCTTAACCTACAGCATCACACCAAAGTGCTCTCTCTCGCTCTCTCTCTCTCTCTCTCTCTCTCTCTCTCTCTCTCTCT